TTTTTAATAAATTCTTGAAAATGTTAAAAAAGAGAGAGAGAATGGGGGCCCGGGGAGGATGTTTGCCCCGGGGCCCGTGCTGACTCTCGACGTTCCTGGTCGTTGGTGCTAATGAAATCGTTATAATACAAAAAATGCAATAACAGCGTGATCAGATACATAGAACGTTATATGGTCAACGTTATAATTAAATACAAAAGTATATAAACTGTTATACACTATACATAACGTAACAGTAAGCTCATAATTCAACACTGACCATATTGTGACAATGTACTTATACAGCTCAACACTATATAATGTACCAATGTACATATACAGCTCAGCACTGTACAGTTCATGCGATCTACACTAATTCTTTACAGACTTCCGGCATAAAGCCCAAAAGAAAAGTTTCTTGTATTCTCCAGTTTCTCCTTAACACCTAAATAGCGAGTGCTGGAAGGTTGTGCAGGTGATGGAGTATTTCATTTTGTAATGACTGAGGAAGTACCAGTTAAAGTCGTAATCTCTGTCCATTGGTATCTCCTAATTTTTGAAATAGCAAACCTTCTCGTAAGCATAACGAATCCTACTCTACTAACACATTTTTGTTGTCAGGCTGTGTTGAGCCACTATCTACCATGAAAAACGTTCTGCACCATTCCTGATCAGCCGAATAACTGGCTTAAAACTCATACCTTCTGCCTGAGCACCTTTCAACTTATTGTTTAACTATATAGGTCATCATCTGTGGGTTTATTATCTGGAATTTCTCTCTGTTGCACTTAAACTTCATTGTTTTTATTATCCTGGGCTTCCATCTTTTCACACTGTTCACCTTCTTCTTATAATAAGATCTTCAGGATAATGCATTAGCATATCTATGGTTCTTTGTAAGCGATACACAAAGTGAAGTTGTACTCCTAAGGTTTCTCAGGCAACCTGGCCTTCTGAAATGTAAAATTTCATCAGCCTCTGCAGTACTGCACAATCTGTCCAGAACGCAAACATTTGTCCATATAGGTAGTGATGGAAATTACACAGTGTACGAACAGTACTTGCTAGTTCTTTCCAACTCATACATTAATTCCTTCCTGTATAATTCATTTTCTTGCTATATTTGGCAATCTCGGTTCTTTCCCATGACGTTCTCTAGTCCCATTACAAAATCACTTGCATCTGTATCTATTGTGAGTGAGTCTTCTATTTTTGATATGAAAATGTAGAAGTCATGGTTAGTTCTTTCTTCAATTTGCTGAACGATTGATCAGAATAAGCAGTCCAGAGAAAACTATTTGTTTTTTCTATAGTTTATATAGAGAATGACTAAATGATATAACAATAGCATTAGCACAAACCGAAAAATCCTCTTACCTCTCGCAAGTTTTGTTACGTTGCCTAATTCTGAACAGAATCAATTTTTGTTGTGTCTGTAAACACTCCCTCTTCAACCATTACTTTTCATCCAGGGTAATCAAGACAGAACACATACATTCAAATGTATAACAGGTGCATTACATAGCACAAATGATAACACAACAAATTATCAAAACCCATTTCCTACAGTAAAGACTATCTTTTCTCGACTTGTACTTGGTAGTTAGTATCTTCCCTTCACATCCAATCGTGAGAACCATCTGATCTAGATAAAGCGTCGAAAGTAAAATCAATCCTATCCAATGTTAAATTATTGAAAGCCTTTTGTACTTTTTATTTTGTTCATGTTCTTTTCTACTACTTCAGTTTTGTTGTAATTCTTTTGTACATTTCCTATGATTTCCTCTATCTTTTCTTTGACCAAATTAGTTTTTCTTCATAATTCTTCGGCAAATCTTATGTTTCGTTCTTGTAATTCTTGTCTCTTTCTTCTAATTTTCTGCCCCCTTCTTTTAATTTTCGGTCTCTTTTTTTTCTTGATCCTGCTACCACTGTTCCATCATTTCCATTATATTCTTAGTCTCGCTTCGACCACGTGTAATCATCTTGAAGTTCAGTTTGTATTTTATTTTTGCCAAGATAACTAGCTCCACTCCTGGCTCTAGTGTTGTAATGGTTTCTATTATTGGGTGAATTCTTTTGGACTATTCAGTAAAAATAAAAATGCAAAGTCCAATCCATTTGGTAACACAAACATTTCTTCGATTACAAGTTCTGTAAGTAGTTTATTAATGTTCACTGATAGACCGAAGTTCACAGTAAACGCTAATACAATAATTTAACGTACTTACTAACTTCTTTCGTACTACAGCACTTTTTTTGCATCTTTGTTTATTCAACGACACACAAATTTAAGATTCATAGAACTGTACTGATTGACTAACTGACTGGCAGTAACAGACGAACTCGCTAACTCAGTAATCAAACATAATTTACTCTAGGCTAACCCGCATTTAAATAATACTTCTCAACCTTTTCCCCAACTTTCAAAACAATTCCAGACGTTGCTTGAATCATTTCTCTGGCCAAACAATAATACAAACGTCTGAGTTAAAAAACATAGACTACAACAATGTCATATACTGGTGTACATACAGTCAGAGGTCAATACTTTACATAAAACAACAATGAATACAAACTTCAACACTAAAAATTTATAACGAACAGCTCGACAAAATATAGATTAAAAAATAAAACATTTTGATTTAGTCCCACTATTGAATTACTGATGTAACTTATTGTCATTCATACTATTGTAACCTCTAAAAAATTAAAAACAAAGAAAGTTTTAACATTATTTATAATCTCAATGATCTTACAGACTAATTGTTCACTAAATTTTAATATATTGTTACGTCTCCGTTCGTTAGTTAATTTTCCGTAAATTCGTTCCGACGAAACTTTAGCGACACAAGTCCTTTCTTAAATAAAACTGGTTTATTCTTTCTGAATATAACTTTGCGATACACTTAATTTCAACAGTCGCGCTATAACAAACGCTATAATTCTCAAAGAACGTCTCACGTGCTCGGCTCAACAATACTCAGTTCAATTACACATTGTTGCCGTCACTTTGTGACCGTCATATATATACAAGAATACCGAATCCAGTAAGCTCTCGAGAAGTCAGGAAGGGACGTGAACGTTCGAGAAGTGCATGACGTGTTACTAGCGTCACGTGACCTGTGTTGTCGTAACAGTATTATGAAACTGTTGTATTTTAGTAGGAGACCAAAAAAAGTAATTTCCTCCTTATACATGCAGTGACTTTATGATACAAAGATGAAATATTCTTCTTTGTGAACAATTTTATCTACGTTTCCAGATGATAATCAATCTAGGGGCACATCGAAACACAAAATACATTGAGGGTGGGCAGTCGTAAGTGAATAAAAATTGTCTGACAACCAATAAAAGCGCTTTAAAATATTATTCACGCACTTCACACACTAGCAAGTACTATACTTAATGTAAGTAATACTACCTTTCAAACTACAATTATTTATTATTGCAAAACAATGATATTTTGCTGTATGTTTTGACCACATTTGTGTGAATAATCATCAGGCAGATGACCTTTGTTTTCGCAATAATAAATAACTGTGGTCCAGAAGATGTATTTCTTATACTTGGTAAGTACCACAAGATATATATATATATATAAACCAATTAAGTAGTGTATTGTATATAAATTAAAGTGTTTTTTGTGTTATACAAAATCATAGCTCATACGTATAATAAAAAAGTTTCCGATAATAACCACATTATACAGATAAATAAATAGTTACTACCAGCGTAATGTTTAGAATTTTCAAAAGAACTGTAGTTTCCTTTCATTTTGGCTGGCCAAGTCAACCGATTACATAGAAAAAACTAAATAAAACATTATGAAAGTTTAAGGTTTGTAGTGCAAACAAAAGAGTTGTTTGTTTGTTTTTTTAAATTTTGCGCCAAACTACACGAGGGTTATCTGCGCTAGCCGTCCCTAATTTTGCAGTGTAAGACTAGAGGGAAGGCAGTTAGTCATCACTTCCCACCTCCAACGTTTGGGCTACTCTTTTACCAACGAATAGTGGGATTGACCGTCATATTATAAGCCAACGTTTCGCCATTGCGACATCATCGGGGTAAACAAGACACTTGCTAACTGATTTAGGTTTATAGTAAAGATTTCAAAAGAAGTATCTTGTTTTCTGAAGATAATAGGTCGTATTGCATTTATCGTTTGAAATAAAACATTGTTGGTAGTAAAATATTGAGGGAATGATATTTTGGTTTAAATTTGATTATTGGGGACACGTGTCCCTCTCATCTTCCCAATTATAACGTTTATGATCTAGGTGGTTTACATTCAAGTTCTTAAAAAAACTCATTTTATCACGCATTGCCTATATCTGTGAAGGCGACCTCTTTGATACTTTAATTTTAAACTGTTTATTTACGTTCAATGATGGAAATGGGGGTACATGCGGGCACACGCCGTGTTCATAGTTCTCAGTTTGCATTAGTTTCCCCATTGGTCAAGTTCAGTACTACTGAAGATGTT